GTCGTGGTCTGTCTGAAAACGACGTAACAGTCACTGATGTCGTGGTCTGTCTGAAAACGACGTAACAGTCACTGATGTCGTGGTCTGTCTGAAAACGACGTAACAGTCACTGATGTCGTGGTCAGTCGGAAAACGACGTAACAGACACGTCACTGAAGGACCCCAGAGCAGCAGACTGAGCGGGTTATGAACAACGCCCCCTACACACAGACACACACACACACACACACATACACACACACACACACACACACACACACACACACACACTTACTTCACTTGGAATACAAATACGTAAAATACTAGAAAGTAAAAATGCAAAGAAATGAAGGAGGAAAGATAAGGACGTTAGTTGTTAGGTGAAAAAAGAAGCAAACCACACCAGAACATCCGCCAACCACTCTATGTCTGTTCTGGGAACTGCCAGCCAAATTATGGGTGGGGATAACAGACGAGTTTGTAGGCCGTTGACAGATCAGTGTTGTGGAAACCCAAGACTTTCACAATATTTTTCGTACACTGAAGGCAGGGTCGAGTGCCGAATAACAATCGGTAGATGCCTAATAGGCACGGTCTATAAGAAGATCGCCTCTCTTACCGTGGGCTTGTGTACGCGGTTGTAACTTTCGATTTGTCAAGGGAACGAGCCAACTACAGTGTTGCATAATTAGTGTATTTCTGTCCGTGTTTAAGTTAGGCGTGCGCAAGTGTGTGTGTGTGTGTGTGTGTGTGTGTGTGTGTGTGTGTGTGTGTGTGTGTGTGTATGTGTGTGTGTGTAATTGTGTGTATGGTGAGTGTAAGTGTGTTTGTCTACATTGGCATATTATGTTTATGAGTAATTGAATATGTATGAATATTATGTGTGCGCATTCGAGTGTAAAAATATGAGTTCGTGTATGTGGTGCTCCAGAGCGTTTTGTTACGTGTTTTACGTGTGCGATTTTTGCGTCTTTGTAGTGTGAGTCATTAACAATGTACTCATCGACTAGGACTAAATTCTTATATCACTAAACAACAAAATACAGTTGAACCTGCTCTAACAGCCACCCGTCCAAGACAATTGGCTGTGGAAACGACCATTACATACTTCTCTGCTTGCGTTCTTTAAATAGTACAAGACAAGCTGGGCCCCCTTTGGATGAAAGGAATGATCGGTGCATTACCATTAACTGAAAGTCATTGGCCTATTATATGTACACTCTACTGGAAAGGAGCAATGAATCCTGAGAGATACACAAAATTAGAAGGTTTAGATAATATAGTGATGTATAGATTGAATTTCTATTCCGCTTTCATGGTTGTACACACTCCAGAATTCCAAAGGTGTGGTAAGAGTGCGCACGGCTATTGAACGGAAACCTCACTCGTTTACAATGGCGTCTTAGAAGACGGACTTTCCCAAGATTTGATCTAAACGAAACTAATAAAAAAAACTGAAAATTAAAGCTCCACAATAGATCTATGCACCCTTTAATGACTTTGAACCACGATTGATTTGGACAAATTCGAAAGTTAAGTGGTTCCGAAGTTTTAGGTGGCCAAAGTGACGAACTTTCACAAATATAATATGTATAGAACAGACCCCTTTACGAACGGTGATATAGTGATACAAAATCCCAAGACATAAAGTTTGACCTGAAGTACCATCGACACTGCGGAGCACACCTCCAAACAGAGCTAGATATCGAGTTTCTAGATCAGGAAATAGTGGAAGCAGCTTTGTAAACACGAAGTAGAACTCTGTGGCACACACGGGGCAAAGCACAAACCGCACTTCTGTTTTTGCTAACTACTCCAAATCAGACTTGAATTTGTATTCTGTGCTCCAAATAGCCTACATCTAAGTGATATAGTGAGGTCTAGATCTAGAGTCTTGCTCTAGGCTTATAAATATTTTTAAAACGTTACACACCAAATACGCGCCAAATTTTTGAAAACGTTAAGTAAACTAGTAAAAGTACCCGTTCTACGAACGGAATAATAATGAAGAAGTATTAAGAAAGTTAAGAAGAGGAAAGAAACAAAACATAAATATTTAAATTTAAATATAATTTTGTTTGTTTAAACGAACTCAACGTGTTGGGGACATGACTACTCCAAATGTGTCTAAAACTTCAATATAATGAAGCTGAACCTGAAGTGTCCATCGACACTACAAAGCACATCTCCAAACTAAGTTGGACATCAAGATTCTAGATCTGGAAATAGTAGACGCACGACGAAGCACAAACCGAAACGGAAGTAGTCCCCAGTAAAATAAGAACGAAGTGACTATTCCCAGTCAGTGACACTGGGGATAGGTACAGAAACTATTCTCAGTGACAAGGGAACTCACTTTTGCAATAAAAAATCAGAAAGGTTTACACTGTAGCCTTGACAGACTCGCTACTCTCTTCTCACTTCAGTTCAGTATTTTTGTTCTCTTCTCTTACTTAGGGCTTAGACTTGACCGTAGAATAGAGATCCAGATCTAGAACTATATCTAGATCTAGATCTAGTTTAAGAAAGAAGAACCGGGAAGGATTTCTATCTGTCCTGTACCGTGGTCCACAAAATCCGCATGTAGATCTAAATATCTAGATCAAGATCTACACGTACATTTAAATTACGGCTGAATAACGAGCAAACACAGAATGGTCATTCCTTTTTCTAGAAACAAAATCTTCCACTCACACCAGAATCTACTTTAGCTTAATTAGATCTACAATCTAGATCTAAATTAGATATATAGTCTAGTATTTAGTAACCAATCACCATAATGCCCATGTAGATCAGTGTGGGAACAATAGGCTAGATTTAATGGGCCTGTCTGTTCTCAGTGTCAGTGGGAATAGTTTCTGGGCCTATTCTTGGCCTATTCCTAGTGACACTAGGAACAATTCTTCTGCCCTATGCCCTATTGCCAGTGGTTTCTGGGCCTATCCCCAGTGTCACTGGGAATAGTTTCTGGGCCTATTCCCAGTGTCACTGGGAATAGTGCTTTCCAAATAAGAATGGCTAATGGCGGAGTGAATACATCTGAGAACTTCGGTTTACAAGAAAAACCATCAAACCTGAAAAATCGAAAGGTAATTTCCGAACTTTGAAAATGTTCCAACGTAACCCTTTGTGACAATTCTTAACTGAATCATATTTTTGTAGATTTTATGGGCACCTGGGTAAAAAATGTATACAGACCTCTCAAACGGGCGTAGCTCCCTTATAATAAGATAATGCCACTGACCAAGATCTGTCTAAGACAACCACTTTCCTCTTGGACAATGGGTGGTGTCTTGGACAATATTCATTGTACAATAGAAACTATCTAAGGCGGACACTTATTTTAAGGAGAAGAGAGGGTGGCTTACTTAGAGGGATGGACGTTCTTAGACTGTGCCATTAGAAAGTATACAAACGCACGTGGGGAAAGGGGAAAAGGAAATTGTCATTTGCACAGGAGATTGTCCTGGACAGGTGGGCATCAGGATATATTCGACTTTCACCACTCCACCCCCCCCCCTTCCTCACAAAAAAATGAAAACAATAACAACAGTACACTGCAACGTGCATGGCAGAAAATTAAATCGTCAACAGGGTCAATAGCCAGATTTTACAATAAATCTGAAACCTGATACTGTAAACGGACACGTGCTTTACGAGCCAGGGCAACCTGTTATTGATCACGAAAACCGACATTTTAAAAAAGTAGGTGTTTTTACGCCCTCATCGAATCAATTTAAATCATATAATAGGCGGGCTTTGACGCTGTCTGTCAGGGTCAACCAGGGCTGAGAGGGTTACAACGTCCCTGCAGAAAGGCCGGGTTACTAGAAAAAATGTTCCACACATTGGACTCGAACCCTGGTCTTCTGTGAACAACACTGAAGCGTGTAACCACTACACCACAGACGCCGGTGTTAATGACGGCTCGCCACACACTCCACACGTCAATGAAGTATCTTCTTTTATTTCTTTACAGAGTGGTTTTGATCTATCGCCCGAGGAAATTCACTGGTTCTGAGTGTTTAATGGCCAATCATTGGAATGCAGGTGATTAATTATTGTTTTTTGCCCCCCATGAAAAAATTCAGAAAATGTACATGGAGTTCTGCTGCGACTCAGCCGGTCTGAGCCAACACGGGCTGAGTGGGATACAATTTCTGAGCTGAAAGACGGAGATCCTTGATACAATCGAGTTTTCCAAACGTCAATCGAATTCACGTCTTTTGTATTCAAAGTTATAAAGCTATCCAAAAACCATCACAGAAGCCATTGCATATGGGTTTAACGGCACTTTTAACAATGTCCAAAACTGAGTACGGAGCTGTGGAATCTCCAAAAGAAAATGTAGAATACCCGGCCTGGAATTCCGAGCAGTGTCATCCTGATCTAAGTACAGCAATCGAGTTTCTCTCTCTCTCTCTCTCTCTCTCTCTCTCTCTCTCTCTCTCTCTCCGCCCTTTCCAGTCATCCTGATTCAGAGTACAGCAATTGAGTTTCTTCTATCTCCTCCCCACCCTCCCCTCATGTAGGAAGAAAAAATCAATTCCCTCTACCTTTCTTTCCTTTGTGTTTTCTCTTCCTCCCTCTGTCTTTTTCCGTTTCCTCTTTTCTCATCCATCCCTATCCCATCTTCTTCCTTTCCTTCTTCTTTTTTTCCTTTCTTTTTGCTACCAAGCTACAAAGAGCCTAACTTCATAGACGGTATATTTTGTGTCTAGTGGAAGGGTAAGTGGCCACCTTCGATGTAGTGCAAGTAAAAGCAAGCGGTGTAAGTAAGTATAATGGATTTAAAGCCCATATCAGCAATATTAGTATTAGGTTATTTAAGAGGCGGGGTCTGAGAATTTCACCCCAATCTCCGGTAAAATCGAGCCAAATGAGTTGAGAGCCTTGCCAACCCCTGCAAACATATCACGTTCAAGAATGTCAGACGCGATTCGAACCAGTGCCATCCGCTCCTTAGTCTAGCATATTATACCAACTGAGTTAATGGAGTGCCCAAAAGCGGTGTTCTCACCTTGTATCGTGCAGGTGTGTAGCTAATTCTCCTGGTCAGACGCCTTTTGAGACCTGGCGTCGTCGGAATCTTCACTCCAGGTGTCAGTCCGGTGGGTGAGGTGGCCGAATTCGAACCCCGACCTTCAGTATGACCACGCAAGCCGTTCTCCATTATCGAACAAGAAAATTCACACCGAATCCGTTCATGAATTTATCACAGTTGATGTCTCGGTAGGCTAAGAACAAGCCAACAGTAGCCTAGCTAAATCCAAATGTAATTGTCAACCTGGGACCAGATGTTAAGCTGTTCAGAATGTTCCCAGGTTTTCATTTGAGAAACCTGCTGATATAGTCTATTATAACTCAGTGCTCACCCTTTCAATGACGATCACATGTTTGTTGCACGCGAGATTGGCAAATACAACAACAAGCCTAATCTTTTTTCTCCAGCGGACAACACGTTAACTAAACATGCTGGGTCCGAATTCACAAAGCACACTTTACACAACACACCACGCTCTCTTACTTGTGTGTCGAAGGCGTGTGTGTGTGTGTGTTTGTGTGTGTGTGTGTGTGTTTGTGTGTGTGTGTGTGTGCCAGGGTATGTGTGTCAGGGTGTGTCAGGGCATGTGTGTATCTGTGTGTGTGTGAGTGTGTGTGTGTGTGTGTGTGTGTGTGTGTGTGTGTGTGTGTGTTATATGTGGGAAAGAGGGAGAGAGAGGGAGAGGGAGAAAGGGAGATAGAGAGAGAGAGAGAGAGAGAGAGAGAGAGAGAGAGAGAGAGAGAGAGAGAGAGAGAGAGAGAGAGAGATAAAGATAGAGAGAGGGAGAGAGAGAAGTGAATTTGTTTAGGATGCGAATGTTTGTGAGTGTGAATGCAAATTATGTCGGTGATTGTACGTCAGCTTGAAGACTCGCAAGTGGGAAGACACACGAAAGTACTTTTTGGAATAAAGGAAAATATCTGTTTGATAATTTCAACAATCAGAAGCTGGAATACTGGTTTATGATTTGCTCTGAACATAATAACCTCGTATCAAGAGGTATTCACAACGATGTATTATACGAACATTATGGTAAATTTACAAACATACTAAAAATAATATTAGAATCTTCTTCTTCTTCTTCTTCTTCTTCTTCTTCTTCTTCTTCTTCTTCTTCTTCTTCTTCTTCTTCTTCTTCTAAACCGGCATATGTGGTGTAGCGGTCAGGCACTTTGCTGTTGCCTATAGGAGATCCGGGTTCGACAGCCGAGTGGGGAGAATTTTTTTTACGGCGCTCGTAACTGCCTACGGTCATATGAGCGCGTGGGACACATCAAACATTTTCAGTTGGTAGGAATTTTGAATTTTGCACCTGAGTTTTTAAATTCACAAAATCAGTACAGCATGGGACCATCTGCCTCAAACACAGTCCACGCACGGACAAAATAAGTTGTTGGATAAACTACTGGGATATCTGCAGCTACATTCTTTTTAGCGATTTCTCCAGTTTATCTATTGTTTGGGGCTGGTCAATTCATGATGAGATTGGTTTGTGCTCTAGGATGCAATAAGTTATGAAGATAAAGGAGGTGGAAGTGCCTGTCTTGTCTCTGCGTTATGTAATGATCCTAATCCTGATTATGAATGAGTCGTAGAAATCGTCGTTACTGTTTTGTTACACTCTTGGGCACTTATCAGATCCTTGACATAATATGTGTTTTCTAAGGAAAATTGGTTGCCAAGTACAACATTTAATCTCTATACACAGTTTCTGCACAAGATTATTATGAAGATGATCGGGGTGGGGGTAGGTTGGGGTGGGGGTGG